GTTCCTGAACACCCCCCCCTCCCCCTCTGATGATTCAGACTCCATGGAAACATGCGAGAATCCAAAAGCACTGAGAGTTCAAATACAACCAAACCTCATAGCAACTCCCTACAAACACAGAGAACCCAGACAGCAGACGTAACAAACCAGCAGAAAAGCAGACAAACAGCAACTAAACCAAACTCAAACTAAAGCCAGTCCTTAATATTGCAGTTAGCAAACACTATTTTGGCTCTCGGCACACATTCACTGTCTGTGTCCACCACTGCTATAACGACACCGGCGCATGTTCATTCACGTTTAGCATGAATACACAGAGAACAGCTGTATAATCAAACATGCCCGACTTTAATGAGTTTTCTGACTTCGATTTAATGACAGGTCAAAAGGTCATGGGCTAGTTCTTGCACTCGCCACATAGAGATGCTGTTGACGGATCATCTTTCATATCCTCAGATCACTTTAGCCGACTGTCAGTCACCTTGTATCACTGCATGCGTTGTATTACTCATTCTTGTCTTTGATGGATAGTCAATTCAAGAATTTAAACAAAGTTTTCACATTTATTTTTTTACTTGACTGGCTTTTTACATAAAAATAAAATAAACAATAACTAGTACATTTCATATACCTGTTTTAAGAAAGCTGAATGTGTATTTGATAGTAAAAAAAAAGAAAAAGTAAAGAATATGTGTACCTATATGTGTACATCATCATCATCAGTATATGTAGTGCCAGGCCTAATATTAAAGTTAATTTAAAGGTGAAATTTTTCTAAATTTCTGCATAATTAAATTAGCAACATGTGCACAAAGTCATTATGGAGCCCCTGAATGGACATCTGGTGTTTTTTATAGGTAAAAATCTGGTAAGCACCAGATTTTATCAGGTGAGCACCAGATACTATGTGATGAGCACCACATACTATCAAGTGTGTGTCAGATACTATCAGCTTAGCATCCAGTATTATCATGCAAGCACAAAATACTATCAGTTGTGCACCAAATACTATGTAGTGAGCACCAGATATTTGAAAAAATTTCTTTGCGCACCACATAGTATTGAGTGCTTGCCTGATGTTATTGGGTGCTCACTGCATAGTGTCTGGTGTTCCATATATAGTATTGGGTACTTTTCACTTAGTGTCTGGTGTGCACCACATAGTATCTGGTGTGCACCACATAGTATCTGGTGTGCACCACATGGCCTCTGGTGTGCACCACATAGTATCTCGTGTTCATCATATAGTATTGGGTGTGCACCACATAGTATCTGGTGTTCATCATATAGTATTGGGTGTGCGCCACATAGTATCTGGTGTTCATCATATAGTATTGGGTGTGCAGCACATAGTATCTGGTGTTCATCATATAGTACTGGGTGTGCAGCACATAGTATCTGGTGTTCATCATATAGTACTGGGTGTGCGCCACATAGCATCTGGTGTGCACCACATAGTATCTGGTGTTCATCACATAGTTTGGGTGTGCGCCACATAGTATCTCGTGTTCATCATATAGTATTGGGTGTGCGCCACATAGTATCTGGTGTTCATCATATAGTAGCGGGTGTTCATCATATAGTATTGGGTGTGCACCACATAGTATCTGGTGTTCATCATATAGTATCGGGTGTTCATCATATAGTATTGGGTGTGCACCACATAGTATCTGGTGTGCACCACATAGTATCTGGTGCACACCACATAGTATCTGGTGTTCATCATGTAGTATTGGGTGTGCGGCACATAGTATCTGGTGTGCACCACATAGTATCTGGTGTTCATCATGTAGTATTGGGTGTGCGCTACATAGTATCTGGTGTGCACCACATAGTACCTGGTGTTCATCATATAGTATTGGGTGTACACCGCATAGTGTCTGGTGTTCATCATATAGTATTGGGTGTGCAGCACATAGTATCTGGTGTTCATCATATAGTACTGGGTGTGCGCCACATAGTATCTGGTGTGCACCACATAGTATCTGGTGCTCACTGCATAGTATCTGGTGTCCATAATATAGTATTGGGTGCTCACCACATAGTATCTAGTGCGCACCTCATAGTATCTGGTGCTCACCACATAGTATTGAGTGCTTGCCTAATAGTATTGGTGCTCACCACATAGTATCTAGTGCGAACATCATAGTATTGGGTGCTTACCACATAGTATTGGGTGCTCACCTGATCATATTGTGTGTGCACCACTTAGTATCTGGTGCTCACTAGATGGTTACCTAAAAAATACACCTTATTGTCCCTTCAGGGGCCTCCATAAGTCATTCAGAGTGGTTTGCCCTGAAATGCTCCATTCTACTAAAATTTGCTGTGTCTTTACTGTCTGAAAGGTTTAATGCCTCTGTTAACTCTATTATTACAGAAATAGAGAGACAATAAAGAAAAAAGCCCTTGTTACTTTACCTTAAACACTTATATATGTAAATGAGCTCCATTCTGATCAGCTGAGCTTTAGATACTATTTGGTGAGCACCCAGTATTATCATGTAAGCACAAAGGAGGCCCTGTAGTGTGCCTCATTCAAAAAGCAGTTCAGGCTGAAACACTCATTATATATGGGTGGGGCTAAACTGCTGCAGGCTGAATAAGTGGACAGACAGTCGCTTCCCTAAAGATCAGATTTGAACACAACTTGATGAAGAAGTATGTTTGTGTCTGTCCACAGAAAGCATGTTCAGCGTCTCTCTTTCTGCAGTCCCAACACACGCGGCCGTTAAACTCACCACACGCTGACTCTGTGTCCAACCAGAAACCAGACTCATCTTGCCATCAGCCACACTCATAATGATAACCGTGTATGTGGCCGGAGTGCTGCCCAAACCCCGGTGGCCACATGGAGGCGCCACTTCACCGCAAATTGACATGCACAGAAATAGTCTAGTGCTGATCTTCCTGAGGATGGAAACAACTGTGAAAGTCCGGCAATTCTTCTATAAAAACAGTGCATTTTTAGACCTCAGTGACTGGAAAGCCCTCCAGTCGGTCTGGTCCGAGGCTGCTGAAGAGAAAGAGAGAGAAACATGAGAAAATGCAAAGAAAGTTTGAGACGATACGAAAGCTCACTGGTAAAGTCTAGCAAAAATATAAAGAATGAAAGAAAGCAGGAGATGTTAGGCCAGTGCTATGGTATCCCAGGCGGTTGCTAAGGTGTTGCTAGGCCAGTGCTACGGTATCCTAGGTGGTTGGTAAGGTGTTCCTAGTCCAGTGCTACAGTATCCTAGGTGGTTGGTAAGGTGTTGCTAGGCCAGTGCTATGGTATCCCAGGTGGTTGGTAAGGTGTTGCTAGGCCAGTGCTATAGTATTCCAGGCGGTTGCTAAGGTGTTGCTAGGCCAGTGCTATGGTATCCTAGGTGGTTGGTAAGGTGTTGCTAGGCCAGTGCTATGGTATCCTAGGTGGTTGGTAAGGTGTTGCTAGGCCAGTGCTATGGTATCCTAGGTGGTTGGTGTTGTTAGGCCAGTGCTATGGTATCCCAGGTGGTTGGTAAGGTGTTGCTAGGCCAGGGCCACGGTATCCCAGGTGGTTGCTAAGGTGTTGCTAGACCGTTGCTATATTATCCTAGGTGGTTGATAAGGTGTTGCTAGACTGTTGCTATATTATCCTAGGTGGTTGGTAAGGTGTTGCTAGGCCAGTGCCATGGTATCTTAGGTGGTTGGTAAGGTGTTGCTAGGCCAGGGCCACGGTATCCCAGGTGGTTGCTAAGGTGTTGCTAGACCGTTGCTATATTATCCTAGGTGGTTGATAAGGTGTTGCTAGAGCGTTGCTATATTATCCTAGGTGGTTGGTAAGGTGTTGCTAGGCCAGTGCTATGGTATCCCAGGTGGTTGGTAAGGTGTTGCTAGGCCAGTGCTATGTTATCCTAGGTGGCTGGTAAGGTGTTGCTAGGCCAGTGCTATGTTATCCTAGGTGGCTGGTAAGGTGTTGCTAGGCCAGTGCTATGTTATCCTAGGTGGCTGGTAAGGTGTTGCTAGGCCAGTGCTATGTTATCCTAGGTGGTTGGTAAGGTGTTGCTAGGCCAGTGCCATGGTATTAAAGATGATTGCTGAGGTGTTGCTAATTCATCAGAAACCATGTTCAAGTAGTCCAGTATTTCCCAAACCTGCTCACCAAGTTTCCACAAATTGTCAGTTAAATGACAAATACTGGCATTTAGCCAGCATTCATCTATCATCAGATAGTTCTTGTTTAAACTTGTTGTAATTCCACATATTTTTAAAAATGTCTGCATCATTCAGTTGTTGAGATGTAAACAAAGTAATTCCGAGTGGTTTGATGTGAACTGGCTCATCGTAGAGCAACTTGCAGAGTCAGATTTCTTCACAGTGGTGGTGACAGGAACCAGGAGTCACAATGTCTATGAGAGAAGTATAGACATTTTATTCACTATCCAAAACAAATCTCTCTAAATGTCTTGGGTTACATCTTCACTGAGTAATTATACAGACAATCTGAACAATTTAACTCAATTAATCCAGTTTTCCACTTCTTAATATGACTTTGAGTGCAATTTACAAGTGAGAAATTCTGTAATTCCCAGTTTCCGGTACCACTTGAAGGCAGCAAAAGAACAAAGCCTTTACCTGCACACAGTAAAAAATGAACTTAACCATACTAAAAACACTTTTATAAAAGCTGACTTCATCTATGAACACGACATTTCTATTAAAACAGAATCCATCACTGTTACTAAAGAAATAAAGATGCATAGTTCAGCTGACCTCCAAGACAGGCGGAAAGATGGGTTCAGATTTTATTAGTCAGACAGAGAAAGCACTTAAGTGTCAGGGGTGTGGCACAGAACTACAATACCCACAATGTATTGCATCTCCAATTCTCATGCGTTTACCGCTGTGACTCGCGGACGGAACGCTGCTGTAAGGTGGGACACAGATTGTGAGTATACAGCGACATCTGTTGGCGCTGTAGGATAAGGCAACTTGATTGCAGACATTCCCTTCTGCGCATGCGCGAACACAAGCCGGTCTGTTCATACCAGCGTAAACATGGCCGCCTCCACAGTCCGCCGTTCTACACGCTGGATGTTTAAGGCTTTACCTCGACTCAACACGACTTGTGGGCCTTTTAGCGCCCTCACACACGGACATACCTCCGGCCTGACGGTCACTGGGGGTCGTTATTATGTGGTTGGGCTCAGTACACATCGCAGGAGAGAAGAGAGCGGGGTGACATTGGGGGGCTTGGCAGGTGAGCTGTAAGGGAGAGGAGCCTTAGTGTGTCTTTTTAAAACTGTCTGAGCTTAAAATCGCTTAAAGTACCTCCTGCACGGCCTGTTTTGATTGTGTGCTTCAGCTGGGTCGTGTTTTCAATCTGGAAGAATGTAAAATAAAATATAATTTTAGTCACTAAGCCTAAAAAGCAAGGATGATGTAACTCACATACAGTTTTCAGTGCTGAGCGTTTAATTAATTTATTTATTATTTATTTTTCGGTTTTGGGAAGTTGTAGTTAAAGCAAAATAGCATTAATGTATGACTGTAATGTCCATAAAAAGAAAACGGAGCAACAAAGAGAGACTCCAGCGAGATTTAGACTGAAAATATAGCAACGCGTGGGAGTTGTGCACGCGTCGCATTGTGGGTATTGTAGTTTTGTGCCACGCCTCCTTGTGCCAAATTACAATGGAATGCCTCGCTGTTAAAACTACAACTCAAAAAGTGCGAAGCAGCTCTCAAAGTGCAGGCGATTTATTGACCGAACTGGGTCGTTAAAGGGGAACTCCACCAATATTTAAAAAAAAAAAAAACTTATTTATGTGATTAAGATGTAAACAAAGCCAGTCAGAGTGGTTTGGTGTGAAATGCTCCGCTCTAAAGAAACCTTAGAGTCAGAATTGATCACAGTGGTGGTGTTAGGAACCAGACGTCCACTTCTAAAAGCTCTCTCAGAGAAAGTTGTTACATTGTTAGGAATGTGCTGGTTGATGCCTGAGACATTGTTCTGTGATAGTCTTGCAATATGTTTTTGGCCTAAAACAGAGGAAACCAATCAGTTCTCTTACACGCCACATTCATATAGAATCACAATAGAGTGACAAAGGATATATGTGTTTATTTATATATCATTAAACTGCACATACTCGATTCAGTCGATGAGGTTTAAACCAAGTTATTCCGAGTGATGAGATGGGAAGTGGTGCATTATAGAGAATAGCAAATTTATTCACTATCCAAAACCACCAGTGTACCTACAAATGTCTTCTGAGAGTCTATATGTTATATTGATGATGGTAAAATTGTGATAAATCTGAAAAAGTATGTTTTCTTTGGGGACAGTTTTGCCTCATAGTGCCTTTTCATGTACATCTCTGGCATGTTGGGCAAAACTATATTGTAAAACTATCATAAAATCTGAGGCACCATGAAGAGTCTTTTGTAATACAGTTATATGTATAGTGTAATAACTTAATGTGAGGAAGCTTTTAGAGGCATTAAACTCTTCAGTCGTCTGGTTCCTATCACCACCACTGTGAACAATTCTGGCTCTATAGGTTTCCCTAGAATGGAGCGTTTCACACCAAACCACTCAGAATGCTTTTGTTTATGTCTTAACCCTTTAATCCGTTAGAAATTTGGAAAAATCAGTGGAATTCCCCTTTAATACCTCTACAAGAGAAATTCTTAGTTAACTGAACAGAAATCATTGTATTGTATTGTGACTGGATTATTTTTTATGACAGATTTTTGTATATGCTCTAACCTCTTGGTCTTACATTGTGTGTGTATGTTGTTCCAGGGTTGAAGGGCTTCAGTGTTAGCAGCTCACATGCCTTCCATAGCAGTTCAGTGCGGCATGCGGAGGATTACTACAGCGTGCTGGGCATTCCACGCACCGCTACGCAGAAGGAGATTAAAAAGGCCTACTATCAGGTAAACTACAGAGCAGTGATGGACGATATACCAGATCATCCGGTATCCTGGTTGAAATTCTTTTTATTGGTTTTATCATTACTGTTATACCACTATGCAACCAAACGCAGCGTTCAAACAGTGTTAAACACACTGATTACTTCACCTCTTGTGTAGTGAGCTGCAGCCTGAGGTCAGTTAGTCCAGTTTATTGTCAAAGCAGCAGACATCAGATTATAAGTGGTTCATGAGTTAAATGGGGGAAAAGAGAGTGGAAGGAAAAGCCAGTCTCTTGGGGTTATGTGTTAGCCATCAGCCAAGTATGGAAACTGGCCGGCTATTCATGTGCACCGCCGCTAATGGCGCTGCTCACTCCAGCTGCTTCAGGTGATGGCACGGTCTTGGCCTACAAGCCGAGAGACTCCTCAACTTATCAGCGAAAACTGATAGTGTGAACAGCATGTAATATTTACTAAATTCCAGCAGCGTCTGATGCTCATAGATTAAGAGACGTATACATGAGACGAGTATATGTAAAACAATATTATTATTATTATTATTATTATTATCAGTAGTAGTGATAGTAGTAGTAGTATTAGTAGTAGTCTTATTATCAGGAATCATTTGTTTGTTTTCTTTGCTGTTCAAGGTACTCTTAAAAGTTTTCCTTACTTAAAAGTTCAAAGGCATCTATATTTTTCTTGACTCCCCATGGACCCTCACAGAGCAGGTACTATTTGGGTGGATCAGACACAGCAGTGCTGCTGGAGTTTTTAAACACTGTGTCCACTCACTGTCCACTCTATTAGACACTCCTACCTTGTCAGTCCACCTTGTAGATGTAAAGTCAGAGACGATAGCTCATCTGCTGCTGCACAGTTTGTGTTGGTCATCCTCTAGTCCTTCATCAGTGGTCACAGGACGCTGCCCACAGGACGCTGTTGGCTGGATATTTTTGGTTGGTGGACTATTCTCAGTCCAGCAGTGACACTGAGGTGTTTAAAAACTCCAGCAGCACTGCTGTGTCTGATCCACTCAGACCAGCGCAACACACACTAACACACCACCACCACGTCAGTGTTACTGCAGTGCTGAGAATGATCCACCACCCAAATAATACATGTTTTGGGGGGGTCCTATGGGGTCTTGACCACTGAAGAACAGGGTAAAAGGGGGCTAACAAAGTATCAGAGAAACAGATGGACTACAGTCTGTAACTGTAGAACTACAAAGTGCACCTATATAGTAAGTGGAGCTGATAAAATGGACAGTGAGCGTAGAAACAAGGAGGTGGTCATAATGTTATTCTGTGAGGCTGTTAGTCTAACTAGTTTTTAAGATTTTAGTACACATAGCCATATTTTTGGAAAGTAAACTAAGACAAATAATACAGATTTTTTTGAAAAATGTTGCTGATACTGTGCTCGATTGGTTAGCTGTGTAATGTGCTTTATTTGTGATATTACTGGTGAAGTTATTTATTTGTGATAAAAAATTAAAGAAAAAATGAAGGATAAATAAGTAAAATGGACTGTAAGGGGAAAATGAGTGGTGAAGAGTGGTGATTTGTTTTAACTGGTGGTAAAGCCTGCAACTGCTTTTTGATTTTACTTAACTTTTAATAGGATTTTTTGGTATGTTTAGCTATGTCTTAGCTGTCGTTATGCTTTTTATTATTATTCTTTTTATTTATTTTATTCTTTTTATTTATTTTCTTATTGTCAATATATTGTCTTACATTTTCTATTTCTTTTATTTTATTAATTTATGTTTATTTTATCGTTATCTACTGTTACTTGTTAAGTTACTATATTGCAATGATTTATTGATGTAATAGTTTATTTGTACCTTATTATTAAAGTTTACTCTTATGATTTTTTATTATTTTATTATAACATTTGGTTTCTTTTTACTACCCAAATTCTCAATCCCTGATTTCTGTTTTGCTTGGCTACATTGTAAATAGGGTCTCCCTCAATGTAGTTTAAATAAAGGTTAATTAATTAATTGATTGAAAGCAGAGTTTTAGGCTCAGCCCAGCACACGCTGAGCAAAAGCCAGTGGGCGGGCAGGGAGCCAGCAGTGGCCTGCTGTCCGTATTATCGGGTCCAGTGGGTTCCCACACTTACTACTACCACTGTAACCTTTGCTGTGATGTTATAGTACAAATTTACAGAAATATGACAAAGATGTTTTAACATGTGTTTTTTGTTGTTTCCTCAGATGGCCAAGAAATACCATCCTGACACCAACCCAGATGATCCGCAGGCTAAAGAGAAGTTCGCCAAGCTGGCAGAAGCATATGAGGTTTGACTCTAGTGTTAATCCTAGCATTTGTCTAGTTTATTGAGCTACACTTTCAGAAGTGGCATTACAAAATATTCTATATAGTTATACAGGGAGATTCACTCGAAGGAGGCCCCGAATATTCTGTAATAACTCTTGCTAGGACGAAGCAATCTGACCGAAACAACGTGCAATGAGCTCCTCAGTATATGGAGCTTCGAACAAGCCGGGATGCCCCTGCGTCGGAGCGATGAGGTAGATGCCAGACAGCCGTTTCGACGTTTAACCTCCGTTTGCAACTTCCGTGTGCAGACCCCCCGTACCCCTTCATGTGTCTGACAGAAAACAGAGATCACTTCCAGCATCACATGTAATGCACCGATTACGCACACGTCAAGGTATGTAGCGGATTTTTTGGCTCAGATTGCTTCTTCCTAATGGGAGTTACAGCAGAATATTCGGGGCCTCTTTCAAGTGAATCTCCCTGTATAGTTCTGCTTTTAAAAAAATTAATATGGTCATTTTTTTGGCCAGAACTCTTTTCAGCAAAGACTACTGAAAACAGCCAGTAAATCTTAGTGGATAAGGAAAGCAAATTGTCTTTGAGCATTTAATCTAATTAAATAAGATTTGAAAATTGGTGCATTCACGTTTCGCCGATAGTTTTATTATTTGTTATCTTCATCTTTGGCGTATCAGTACGATCAAACTCACATCTGGTAAGCGTGTGTAAATTTGATCATAAATGCTTAACAACCTGAAAAAATGTTTTGCAGTTAATAAACTGAAATGATAAAATATAGTGTAATGCCAATAATAGAAATATCAGTAGTATTAGCATAATAATATAATAATACTAACAATATTAATAACAACAACACTAATAATTTGTGAATAGGGCAATCCAGTGCAGAAGTACATTTAAAGACATTTTACACTGTGTTTGTGTTATGCTACCAAAATTAAACAATACAAACCACAGCTGGTGCAGAAGCATCTCATACACTGCAATAATGCAGGGTTAAAATATGCTACTTTACCCTACACAGTCACAATAAAAGACGTTTAACTGACTTCACACTTTATTCTTTCCAGTCGCTGAATGCTGTGGTTTTATTGGCCCCCTACAAAAATATTTGCATAAACTAGGGCATGATTCATGTAAATGATATGTAAATAAGGTGCTGGTAGGCTGGCACTTGATTTCACGCACTGAAGCTGATTCATTTGCTCTCAGATCTCCACTTGTTTCCACGTCATATGAAAGTCAAATCAGATGCAGAATCATTGAAGGTGGTCAGATTTGCACTCTTTTTTTACGCAACCTTGATGAATAAGAGCCATTGTTTTCTCCTGTATAGCAAGTTTTTATGTTAAATTTATGGGTGCTGTCTTTCTGCATGTGTGCAGGTTCTGAGCGACGAGGTGAAGAGGAAGCAGTACGATACGTACGGTTCGGCGGGGCCGAGCGCCGGCGCAGCAGGACAGCAGCAGTACTGGAGGGGCGGAGCCACTGTGAATCCAGAGGAGCTCTTCAGGAAGATCTTTGGAGAGTTTGCCGGAGGCCGAGGCTTTGGAGATTTTACTTCCATTTTTGACCAACCACCAGAGGTCAGCTTTAGCCAAAGAGCTTTAGATCTGTCTTCTCCTCAGCCTGAAACACTGTCGTTTTAAAATCAAATCTGTGCACGTAAATGTTTTATTAAAGAAGCCCCAGTTGTTTCATAGGAGCTGTGTACCGTAATGAACTGTAACTGTTTTTGAACTGCAGTTCTAATGTACTTGCATTGTCATCCCTCTTATATCTCTGCGCAGTATGTGATGGAGTTGACGTTCACTCAGGCAGCAAAGGGAGTGAACAAGGAGATCACGGTGAACTTAGAGGACAGCTGTCCACGTTGTGACGGCAAAGGTCATGAGCCTGGCACCAAGGTCACACATTGCCATTACTGCAACGGCACTGGCATGGTGAGAACACTGTAGCAGCCGTCTCAGTGGAGGTTATTTGCTGTCTTGACGTTCTGAGTGATGTACGCAACTTTCAGTGTGTTGACTTTCAGCTTGTTCTACATCAAGCATACGTAGGGCTTTTCACATGGCAACTGACAAATCGCTCAGCCCTTTTCAAACACCAGGTGTGTCTTGCATGGTAACCATGGCGACTGCAACGTTAGCACAGCTAACACTCGTCTAGCACTTGTCAAGCACTCGTCTTCAAACTCAAAAATAAGAATCATGTTGAACGTCAAAAATCAGAAATAAAAGTCTTGTAATGTCAAGAGGCACCGAGGTAAGGATGAGGCCCTCCTCAGTTTTCCCTCCCCTAAAACTTCTTTGGTTGACACCAGAGCAAACATCTCTGAGGCTACAGGCATGCGCTGGTCTTGGAGACGTGCAATGGTTGAGCTCGACTGTTGCCTGCCGCTCTGCCTATGTCGGTTTGCCTGACCACCTGACTCTTGTTGAAAATAAACGTGGGACTCTTGATTGTAGCTTGCTATTTGAAAAGCCTGGAAGTCTTTGAGCCCCAACAGTTCAACTTGATGATGCCTCTTTAGGAAACTATGTGGTGTATTGAAATCTACAATTTCACCACAGTTTGATGTGATTTGGTTCTTTTGGTATGATTTCAGAATTATTTTTGAAAAATACACTCAACATACAAATATGTCAAGGGGATTTACACAGTAGTGGAATATACACTGATGAGCCGAAACATTTCGACCGATGACACTAATAACGTTGATTGTCTTGGAACAAGGTCTGGGATAGATTAGACGGTAGGTGAACACTCGTTTTTGTAGGTGACATGTCGGAGTTGGTGGAATGCAGGCATGAAGACCTGAATGGCTTTGACAAGAGTCAGATTGTAATGGTCAGTCGAATGTATTGGAGCATCTCTGAAACAGCAAGGCTTGTGGGGTTCTCCCGGTCAGCAGTTGTGAGCACCTACTGACAGTGATCCAAGGAGGGACAAACCATAAATTGGTGACAGGGTGTTGGTCACACAGGGCACCATGCACCATGGCAACGAAGGCTATCCTATTTGATCTGAACCAACAGAAATGATTATGTGGCACACGTCACGGAAATCTTTGATGATGGTTACGGGAGGAACGTGTCAACACACAGTGCACCCTACTACATATGAGGCTTTGTAGCCTTCAGATCGCTCATGCTAACCCCTGTCCACCATCGAAAGCACCTACAGTGGACACACAAGAACCTTGGAGTGATGGACCAAGGTCACCTGGTCAAATGAGTCCTGTTTTCTTTTACATCATGTGGACAGCCAGGTACGTGTGCACTGATTACCAGGGGAAGTGATGGCACCAGGGTGCACTGTGGGAAGAAGACAAATCGATGCAGTGTGATGCTCTTAGCAATGTTCTCCTTGGAAACCCTGGGTCCTTGGCATTCATGTGGATATCAGTTGGACATGTGCCATGTACCAAAATGTTTTTGTGGATTAGGTACATCCTTTTATGGCAGTGGACGGTGGCCTCTTTCGGCAGGGTAATGCCCTCCATTATGCCCTCTTACTTTAAGAAGCATAGCGAATATGGGCAATTGCTTGGGAACGGTTTGAGGAACATGATGAAGAGTTAAGGATGTTGCCCTGACCTCTATATACCCCAGACCTCAATCTGATCCAGCATCTGTGGGATGTCCCGGAACAAGAAGTCCGATCCACACTTCTTACAGGACTTATAGGCTCTGCTGCTCAAGTCTTGGTCCCAGATACTATAGGGCACCGTCAGAGGTCTTGTTGAATCCATGCCTTGGTGGGTTGAAGCTGTTTTGTTAGCACGTTGAGGAGCAACAGCATATTAGGCAGCTTGTCATAATGTTTTGGCTCATCAGTGTCAACAATAAAAACAAAACGTCAAGCTTTTTAAAGGGATTTTTAGGTCTGAAGTTAGCAAGGTAAGTTTACTCTGTATGAGAGGTTAAACTTGTTATTATAGTACAGGGTGATTCAAAAAGATTCATCCGATTTCAAAGCGCCATATTTGTACAACCGTGAGGCGCCTAGGAACCAATCACAATCCAATTGTAAGAGGGGGTCATAGAGTTTCTGGCTCTCACCGGAAGCTGGCCCCCTTCAGTCTGAGAGGAGATGAGACCCCTGAGCAGAAAGCGTTCTGTGTTCTCCTTTTCAACAAGAGTGAATCCATCATAACTGTGCAGAGTGATTTTCATGGGCAGTGAAGCTCCAACAGCTCAGAGCGTTCGTCGTTGGTTCCAAAACACTGGATGATCTCCGAAATCGCGCTGAAGGAGCCGTGAGTGCAGCGACACCCGACATGATCAATCCAGTATGGGATGAATCTGACTGTGGCGTTGATGTCGTCTGTACAGCTGGAGGAGGTTCATACTGAGCACTTGTACAATTACATATTAATCTTTATGCTCATTTAAACCATTTACAGTTCACTGCAATGTTCTGTAATGATTTACAAGTAAAATAAATCATTTTGAAATCGGATGAATCTTTTCGAATCACCCTGTATAACTACAATAATTTGATTCTAATGTTCCGAACCTGATGATGTTGAATTGACACCTTCAGGTCGATGAATCACAATGAATAATTCATTTCTACACCCCTGATATCTGTCTCTGTCTGTGTGTGTAGGAGTCGATAAACACTGGCCCGTTTATGATGCGCTCCACCTGTCGGCGCTGTGGTGGACGGGGCTCCATCATGATCACGCCATGTGTGATGTGCAGAGGAACAGGCCAAACCAAACAGAGGCACACAGTCACTGTTCCTGTTCCTGCAGGTCAGCGATCTGTAATAATCTAAAAGCTTTTGTCAAAGGGATTGCTTCCAGTAATAACAATAAAAGAGAAACTGTTTTGTCGTGCTCAACAGGGGGTTCTCAACCTTTTACTCCTCAAGGCTCACTAATCTACTACTAGAAAGCATGAAGGCCCACAGGAAAACAAAACCGTAAACTTTTTTTGCTTAGAAATATCGTTTTTGGGACATTTTTAGCACAGCTATGACGCATATCAGTGGACATAAAAGATCAACAGATTAGGCTGACGTAAGCTTGTTTTATACCCTAAATCAGTCAGAATAGTGGCATATTAAGTGGAATACAGAAAAGCCCACTATGGACCACAGGACCCCTCAGTATAGGCCTGAGGACCACCAATGGGTGCCCAGTGGTTGAGAAACGCTGCTCTAGAAGAGAAACTTATGCATTAAAACTGTGTCCGAATCTGGACTGAAGGTTTGACATAAGTGTCATGATGACTGATGATTGTTTTTGAGCACTTTCTGCAAAACTAATACCAGTATTACAGTGAACAATGCAGTAAAAAAGCAACACAAAAACATATTAAGAAAAAAATATTTTGATTCTTTGTAATAGCGTACTGTGCAGAGACCACCCTTCGTTTATTTTATTTCCAGTCAGCACAGCCATGATGCAACATAATCCACTTGCTTAAGGAAGGAGAAAGTCAAAGAAAAGTAGAGAAGAAAAATGTTGAAAGCTACAGAGAAAATGGGCTTCCTAACAACCACCTGCAAGACCTGCTAGACCCTAAAGCTTTCATCTTTGAGAAAATCAAGCTCCACTCTTGCTTTAGATCTAAAATAAAATCTATGTGTTTCTGTCCATCCTTCCACTGTGAGAAGACGACTCAACGCTGTGGGTCTGAAAGGATGTGTAGGTGTCAAGAAGAACCTCACTGAGAAAAGGAGACGGACACATCAAACAAAAGAGCTGAACAATGGACTGACCACCCCAGAGTCCAGACCTCAACACCACTGAATGTGTTTGATTACTTCAGAAAATGATCAACCAGTTTCTAAGACTGAACTTTGGAGGTGTGGAAAAAACATCCCTGCAGATTTCTTTGAAAAACTGAAAGCGAAACTCCTGAAAAGAATGGAAGCTAATAAAGGCCATGAGTGGACACAGTGAACACTGAAAAAATGTTGTTATATTTAGTTGTTGAGGCTTCTCTATACTTTTCTTTTAATTGTTTGTTTTTTTCCTGGCGCTAAAAAAAGAATAACTTGTATTCAGTGACTGTTTTGACTGTAAATTACATCTCTGGTCTCTGACTTTAACACACTGCTGTGTGTAGATGTTCCCCTTTGTGTCCTGACTGTGTTGGTGTCTTTTAGGAGTGGAGGATGGTCAGACGGTGCGGATGCCGGTGGGAAAGAAGCAGATTTATGTCACATTCAGAGTAAGTTAACATTTTGTAATTTTTCTCCTCCAATATCTTAAAGAATTTGTGCACAAAATGTGCACAACAAAATTCCATATTTCATTTCTTCCTTGCAGAGGATATCACTGCTGTCGGAACAAAACCTCGTACAGTATGTTTTTTCCTTCTCCTGCAAAGTTATCATTTTGGAAATACGAGGTTTTCTTCAGACAACAGTGATATGTTAACTTATTCTTACTTAGAAAATCAACAAAACGTAATTTGGCCAGGAGTGTCCGAACTTTTGCATGCGACTGTGTTTAGTGGATCTGTAAGGTCAGTGGAGGTCATAAAGTGGCCAGTGAGTGGTTAAAGAAGCAGGAGTTTTTAATGAAGTTGATAGTGAATATCTTGCTTGATTAAAGTCTCAGAATATGTTGTGTGATCCACTGATATTTGACTGCATGATCAAAATGCTACGTGGTTTAGACACATTTGGACTATATAATGTGTAGTTATATTGATTTTGTGTTTTTATGTGTGTTTCTCAGGTCCAGAAGAGTCCAGTGTTCCGGCGGGACGGACCAGATATCCACTCTGATGTGATGATCTCAGTGGCTCAGGCTATTCTGGGAGGAACGGCTCGAGCCCAGGGCCTCTATGGAACCATCGACATTCCGGTGAGAGAGAGGCCTAGAGAGAGACCTAGAGAGAGACCTAGAGAGAGACCTAGAGAGAGGCCTAGAGAGAGGCCTAGAGAGAGACCTAGAGATGGAGAATATGAGGGAGAGAAACTGCAGTAACACTGACGTGGTGGTGGTGTGTTAGTGTGTGTTGTGCTGGTCTGAGTGGATCAGACACAGCAATGCTGCTGGAGTTTTTAAACACTGTGTCCACTCACTGTCCACTCTATTAGACACTCCTACCTTGTCAGATCACCTTGTAGATGTAAAGTCAGAGACGATAGCTCATCTGCTGCTGCACAGTTTGTGTTGGTCATCCTCTAGTCCTTCATCAGCGGTCCCAGGACGCTGTTGGCTGGATATTTTTGGTTGGTGGACTATTCTCAGTCCAGCAGTGACACTGAGGTGTCTGATCCACTCAGACCAGCGCAACACACACTAACACACCACCACCACGTCAGTGTTACTGCAGTGCTGAGAATGATCCACCACCCATATAGTACCTGCTCTGTGAGGGTCCTGACCATTGAAGAACAGGACAAAACGGGGCTAACAAAGTATCACAAAGTAGCCAGAGAAACCTATAAATGAACAGACTTGCATGAAATAAAGTATATAACAGCTCAGTGGCCACTGGAAAGTAAACAATAAAGTTAATTATAATAATGGGATGCTATGAACTTCATAATGTTTTTTCAGTCCAGCAGTGATATCTTGCCTGGAAAGGCTCAGTGTTGTAACTGCACTACTGATGACCATTTACCATCTAGCTTTTTAACAATACTTAACATTTTAGGCTGTTTTAAAAATGCTAAACATGCCACATACAGTGCAGAAATGCAAAATGAGACCTAAATGTTCAGCTTGTGTGAGGCGTCTGCACATTTATCATTTTGAAGTAATCAGTTATTCGATTTTAGTCTGGACTACTCTAAATGGTCATCATTAATGCAAAGAGAAGAAGAGACGGTTCCTCAGGGCCCCATTCTCCATCTGCCGTTATAACATTACTATATTTTCCCGCTGCTTCCTGCAGATCCCTCCTGGAATCCAGACAGACCAGAAGATCCGGCTGGCCAGTAAAGGAATCGCCCGCTTGAACAGCTACGGCTATGGAGACCACTACGTTCACATCAAAATTAAAGTTCCTAAGTAAGCAACTTGAACACTGCATTTACACTGCATTTACACTGCGACTGACAAGAACGCTTCTCTCTCTTCTGTCTGCTGCATGTGGGTCTTAAAAGAGTGTTCCCTGTAAAATCAAACTGAAATGTAGTCTTATCTGGGCGATGTTTATATAACGTATGCGCTTTTTGAATAATAGGAAAGTCATTCAAAGATAAAACAGATTATTTTTTGGGGGTGCAATAGCAATGAGAGGCACAAACCTGCGCCTTTTTGTACTTGAGAGCCCTAAAAAATCTAAAAAAACTAGTACGTAACCTTGGTGTACTAATAGAGTTTGATCTTTTAGCTGTCGTGTCAAAACAGTTACTAAATCAGCATTTTACCACCTTAAGAACATCAACAAGGTCAGAGATTTTTTGACTAAAGCAGACCTGGAGAAACTCATCCACGCCTTTAGATCTAGCAGGATTGATCACTGTAATGGTCTCCTAACTGGACTCTCCAAAAAAGACAATCAAACAGCTTCAGTTGACTCACAATGCAGCTGCCATGAGTTCTCACTAGGAGTAAAAGAAGGAACACGTCACCCCCCCCTTTCTTAAATCCTTACACTGGGTACCAGTCTGTTCCAGAATAGATGTCAAGGTTCTATGACTAATGGTGTAGGCCCAGTGTATTGATCTGATCTACTGCAGCGATATGGACCAAGCACAACTCTCAGATCATTAGGAACTGGTCAGTTAGTCCTGCACAAGGTAAAGACTAAACATGGAGGAGCAGCATTTGGCTACTAATCTGCTTTTAAATGGAGCCAGAGCATTAGAAGAGCCCTACACTGGACACTTTTAACCTTTTTAACTCCTTGAAACCACTGGTGGTTCCAAAACACACTTCATCATATTCTTTACTTCATAACTTGCATGTTTTATAAGCTACATTCTAAAAGGTGGGGGTCATATGAGAGCTGTAACTGTCTTCTTCCAGTCAAATAGATGGGTGATGTAATTTTAAACCCTTATAATAAAAGAAGCTGAACTCACAAATTTTTTTCTACTGAAAGTCGACCCATTTTTCCACAAATCTGAGCTACAAACTGGATCTCAGATGGCGTCTCTTCAGTGATCTGCTCTGTAAAAATTACTTTTATAAAAAATACAAAGAGCGTCTAAGATTTTTGGCTTTCAGCAGTAAATTGTAAGCATATGGCGTTATGTTTATCATCATAACACGTTTTCTGTTAATTTGAAATTTTACCAAAAAAAAACTTTACATTTATTTCATGCAGCTACTGAATAATTTGCCTTACGATTTGGGCATGTAAATTAAGATGGACAAACCAAAGTATACCCACGAGGATAAGAAATCTTGGCACGTGTTATTATTTTAATTTAATATTTAAATTGATTTTTCATTTGTATTTCATCGTTTGTAAAGCACTCTGAATGACCGCAGTGTATGAAAGGTGCTATATAAATAAACTTGCATTGCCTTAACATGTGAAGGGCAGCGGTACTCCAGGGCCAGAATGGTTTAGAGCAATGTTTCCCAACCCTGGTCCTGGAGGCACACTGACCTGTACAGGTTCAATGTTTTTCCTTCTCCCACACCTGGTCCAAGTAATTAGCTCATTAACAAGCCTTAGTGGGTTTAAATGGGTATGTTGAAGCACTTAAATGTGATTTGGTCTAGAATATCCGTCCTACAAACGAATCAGCTTTACCTAAACTATGTTAAAGTTTTTATCTTGTGTTTGCTGGGTTGCTTTGAAAGGAAGTTGAATCGTAGGCAGCAGGAGCTGATGCTGAGCTACGCTGAGGAGGAGACGGACGTGGAGGGGACAGTCACTGGGGTCAGCAGAGCAGCAGCAGGTACGTTAACATCAGGCAAAAAAAATCTTGTAGTGTAAGCCTGGCTTAAGGATGTGGAGGGCAGGAGAGCTCCAAACAGAACACCATGTGTTTGTATATGTGTGTAGGGCGTTCTCAGCATGAAGCTAAGGCTTCTGAAGAAGAGCAGAGGAAAGAAGAAGAGCAGCCAGAGAAGGAGGAGGGAGGATTTTTCTCCAAGCTGAAGAAGATGTTCTCCTGATGGGATCAGCAGGTAGGAGCTCTAAACACTGTCAGGAACAAGCTGAAGTTCTGTTCGTGTGTTTTTTATAAGGGGAAAGATCTTAGAGGCCTGTTCACACCTGGTATTAACATCTGTCTCGAGTGGTCTGATCACAAATGCACAGCAAGATGTGTGATCGCATTTCGTGACTAGGGATGGTCACCTGTACGCTACAGTGTCTTGCTGCATTTATTGTCAAAGTTTGAACAAACGTCAGGCTACTAGAATGGTTTAGATCAGCTCGACCTGTGGGCCGCAGACCACCAGTGGACTGTAAAGCTCCCTCTAGTGGTCTGTGGTCCTGTACTCAGAGAGAGGCAGTAATTCGGGCCAGGAGCATCATTGTAAGTCATGAAGAACGTTAGTGGAAAAATGATTAAAAATGAAACAATTAAAAATGTAAGAATTAAACGTTTTCACAGTATAACCAATATAAATATTAATAGAGACGTACAAATAAAAGTGTCACAGTAGTGGCTAATTAAAGGTCATCAGTCTGAGACAGTGCAGCCACAAGCTCATGATGCAGACAGCGAGCCAGAGATGGAGAAGTTTCTCAGGGCACTTTGTTTGGTGAGCACTTATCACAACTTTTTCCTTTAGTTCGCTTCGTTTTGACGCGTGTGAACACTCCACCCGTATTAGAGTCCGCAACAAACCGCTGAACCAGTCCGGCATAAACCCGCGGGTCTCGGTCCACTTCAACCGAACCCTGTTCAGTTCACTGCTAAAGGAAACGTGCTCTGTGGTCAAATGAGGGAATTCATCAGCAGACCTGGCTTTCCTTCTCCTGTAGCAGCACATCGGCGCCAAACAGTCAGCATAACGACTGTTTTAACGTCTGACTCTTTAGACACTGAGCACAAGCTGCCGTTAAAAACAACGATGAGCCATAAAATAACAGAGAGAGAGGAGTTTGATTTCAGCTCATGGATCATGGAGCGCCTTTTGGTCGAGCATCAGCGACCTGAGTGTTTAAACTCAAACTGATAAACTAATGAAGAAGCCGGTATCAAGCAAGATTTATCATTATTGTTGATTGTGACGATGATAATCCAAAAACCCGGTGAGTGGAGTGAGGTTTATTTCAAATTAATCACAAATACCCTCAAAACTAGAGACATCGAGGCCAAACTGCATGGACTGCAGCTCCAAATCACATCTACCTTGGGCATTTAATATTTTTGTTCCTTTTTCCCCCTTTTTGTCATCCAACCAAGTTGGTTTTTTAATGTGTTTTATGTTTTTTAACATGCCTGCAAGTTTTGCAAACCTGCTGACAACCAGAATGGCCAATCTGATCTTTTTTAAGATCTAATCAGTCAGCATTTAAGAAAAGAAAAATAAAGTTCTTTTTAAAAAAGTTGGTTTTAGTTTTCCTGTGAGCCGCTATGCTTTGAAGTTGTACACAGGTGGGCCTCGGGCTGAAAAAGGTTGAGAACCCCTGGTTTAGATCGCATGGATTACTAATGCAACTTGTAAACAGGAGACTCTTCTTGAGAGGAGACAGCTGGTTTCGTCTCTGCTGTGGTAACACAGTTGAATGAGGTGGTCTTGAACGCAGCAAGACGCTTTATCGTTCACACTACAGATATCATTTGGTCATATGCATCTCTTGCCACCTCCAATGGTGGTTTGAGTGATAGGATCAGAAAGTGTCTCTGGAAACGTTGCACCTCATTCACTCCTGTACTTAGCACTGTCCACTCCTGATCAGGTCACCCAGGATGCATGTTAATGGCAAGAGTTTCTTAATCCTGCTCCTGGCGACAGAGCACTGCAGAGTTTCATGTTTTGCTGTCTCAGCACACCTGATCGAGCTCACGAAAGGCTCGATAATCATTTGATGAGCTGGATCAGGTATGTTGAGTCGAGGAATAGCTAAAAGTGTGCGGTGCTGGGGGTCATACCTGAACCTGAGAGCGCAGAATGCAAATCGACAGAATAGAACTAACTCTGCAATAAATTAGAGGTGGTCAGTAGCACAAATTGTAATATCACAATATTATATGAAGTTTTTTTTTTAAGATACACAACGTGTATCATATTTCGACAACGTTTCACACTGTGCTACACTAAATCCAGTTAAACATTAAATCCAATGCTCCCTTTAGTCAAACATGTAGTTGGGAAGTGTTTTTAAGTACTGACGATATCCACGATATGCCCAGAAAAGCATATTGTGATGTAATTTATCATGACTATGATAAATACCGTCATATTGTCCAGCTCTGAAATGTATAAAATTACTGCGAATGTAATTACTATGTTATATATGTTATGTAATTACTTTTAAAGGGTTAATACAGGGAATTGGCCAAATCTACAAGATAAAAGCTTAATTTTGTATTTAAGATGGCGGCTTTCCAAGTGTCTAGGCTAACATTAGGACTAATACAGTAGTTCTCAGACTGGTCCTCAGGGTCCTGCACATTTTTGAGCCAACCCAATTCACCTCACATAGGGACAGAGAAAAAATATGGCCCATCTGTTGGACCCTGCTGACCAGTTCTAGAACCACTGGGCTAATACAGAATGTTAATGATGAGATCAGTCTAACATTAAGTGTCTTAACAGATGTTTGGGTGCTTCCTGACCTTTGACATCTCCTCATTATCTGATGCCGAGAACCTCTGACTCTAGGGGAGAGTCTTGCAAGCCATTAATGACTCTTGATGCTCTTCTCCCAACTCGGCTGTTGGCGAAGGAAACCAGAGTGGGAGAAGAACGGCATCCGACAGAATCCCAAAGAGCTCCTACTGTTGCCCATCATGCCATGGAGCTCAAACCTGTCCAGCCAAAAACTCTACAAGGACAGACGGCAGGAGATCAGGAGATTCTGCTACCTACTGTTTTCTGTCTATTGAAGGACTGCAGTAATGGAGTTATGCTGCAGATAAATCATTACATACTGTGCTGAGGTTTACCCATTTACATGTTTAACTAATCTGTCACACCCCGATAGATATTTGAGTGTGATACGGCCCAGACTGCTCAATGGAGTCACCATTAAACAGACCAGGTCAAAGGCTATGTCATAATATTAATGTAATTTATTTCTTCAGTAAAAAGTGATTTATTATTAATGTCGGTTCACTCTGTCCTCTATGCTGTGTGATGTTTTTCTACCAGAGTGCCTGTGTTTCATGATTGATTGATCATGAATTGAATTCTCCCGTTAAAACGGTACACATTCTGAAACATACTTAGATTAACCCTCTATTTCATGGTGTTGCCTCAGGTTAACAAAACCATTTTCCTCACTTTACAATGGCATGATACATATTTACTGATGATGAAAGGGTTAATAATGTAGGGAGGAGTTTATACAAACCCAAAAAAAAAAACCTTCTATTTCCTCATCTCCTGGTGGCCATTTTTAACCATTTTGGCACGGTGAAGCTTGTGGATGATGCACTTTACTGCACCAGACAGTGTCCCTTAGAAAAACAAGTATTTTTCCATTTTTTATCTGCCCATAAATATGGTTCATGTCTGTTAGTGTGAAGTTCATTTTTGAAATATTCAGTATCATTTAAATCATCTATGTTATGAGAAATTGCTGAAATATGTATGTTGCCTTAAGGCAACACTGAGCAACAGTGAACCAGATTTAGTCAGTGGCAAGTGTCACTTATGCAGCCACATTAGAAAACTGTTGTTTTTCATTTAGAGTTGTTTTTTTAGAGTCATTTAAAGTATAATTGTATTTAACATGTATTAAATTTTAGAGGCTAGAAGCTCCTTCCAAGTCCTCCTCGTCGGGTATCAGTCAGCATCCTTTATGTTTTACTAGTATCATTACTTCTGTTCAGAAAACGAACAGCAATTCTCATTATTTGTAAATGTTTCATTATGTTTTAGCACAGTTTTAAGTCTTATTTGTGGTTTTAAATAATTGGTGTTCAAGAAATTGAGTATTAGTCCTGAAGGGTGTATCATGTAAACATGGTTTCTTTGAAAGAAATCATGAAATAGAATTATTCTCATTTTTTAAGCATTCATAGTATTTAAAGTTTATTTAAAATCTGTGAACTGTAATTAGTTTCATTCAAAAATTCAGTTTGCTATAGGCCTATTTCTTTCCATTGTTGCACAATGTTGCCTTAAGGCAAAGTACCGCAAAAGGATTCCTACATGTACTATTATTTATTATTATTTTTTTTTATGTCATCAGGCCCATTTTCTGCAAGTCAAATTAATTAATCATTTATTTAAAAACATTGCTCTCATAATGTGTGCAATAGAGGCTTAGAAACTTGGTGATCAGCCATCAAAATGAACTATGGGATATGGTTTCATACTTGGGATTACTTACATCGAGCCTTGACAAATATTTTTATGCAGTAGATTCATTTTGGAATATATTTCTCACGACTCTCAAAGCAAATTCTGGAAGATTTGATTGTTCTGAACATATTTTGAAACATGATCTATGAAGAATTGAGCACATGCAGTGAGACCCGAATGAGTCTACCAAGAAATAGTTTAAGCTAATCAGCCAAACAAATTTTACTCAGTTTTAATTTTAATTCTCTGAAATTAAAACGTATCTAAATATCATAGCTACCCATCATTTGTTTCATTATTTAAAAAATGTTATGGCATATATTAATTGATACTAACTCAATAGTGATTGAGGTAAACAGTGGACATACAAAATACTGAGACATCAGTAGCTAATACTGATAAACATTAATAATGTCTACTTTTAATGCCATACTTTCAAAATTTGAAAAATGATGCCATATTTTTTGAGAATATAATTTGAGATATTTTATTAGTTAGAGACAAAAACTACCCGGAATATAGCATTTACTGTTTGAATAAAATATATGGCTTCACAGTTTTAAAATACTACACATTATGACAACAGAATAATCAGATGTGCACGATTATTCAACAGTTTGGTGTTGCTGTTCACAACAATATGAAACCATGATATAAAATTTTGTAATACAATGCAGACACATGCATTAAATGATTCTAATGTAACGCTGATATTCTGTAGGTTTCACATTTTTCACTATTTGTAGGAAGATTTCATAAAATTTCATTTTAACTGAGAAAATTAAAGCTTTGAGAATAAACTTACAAAAAATTAATATTCAGAATGCCTCATAAGAAAACCCATGATATTTTGCTGATCAAATAGATAAATATACATATACACACGTGTTATGTAAGGCAATAATTGTAGTTTATTTTTTAATACCATTGCAAAAAACATTCATTGTCACTTAAATTTAAATTAAACCGGCAGTTTACATTTTGTTATTTTGCATTTATTTTTGTAAACAATTAATATTTGACACGATTGGAACTTTTGAACGGTAATCTATGTATCAGTTACAGAGGATTTCTTAAACATCTGAACAAAAAAATTCATAATTTTAAAAAATGTGTTCTTGAATAAATTGTATCAACTAAATAAAATTTGATATTCGATAACTGACAAACAATGTCACACTTCCTACTGTACTATGTAGCAGGGTTATTTTATATAATCACAGGAGGTGGTACAAAAATAACCTACTTAAGTTGTGCATCATGCCAAAATAAGGAACTCTGGGTCAGAGCCATTTTTGATTATGGTAGAAATGTATTTTGTCTGTAAAACAATTCATAACTCTGGAGATCCAGTAATATCAAGGGGGATGACATATATACAGGACAAAAAGACTTTGGAACGCTGTTTACTTGATTATGATTATGATTTCTTGTATAACTATGTTTTATCACCTGTCTGTAAAGCACTTTGAGCTGCCACCGGCATGAGAAGTGCTATATAAATTAAAAATTATTATTATTATTATTATTATTATTATTGACCACAGATTGTGACAGCAATAATTGTAGAAATTTTTGCCCACAGTGAAAACCAGCCAATACCTGGGGTTCCTTATTTGGGATCTGGCACCCACTACAAAATAAAGGCAGGACGTCACAGGTCTATGGAGCAGAGTAACCTTGGTCATTCCTTATGCCTTCAGTATGTTCCCCTATTCGCTCTGATTTTCTGTAGCTGTGCTTTGTATTCTGAATTTCTTTCTCTTGCCAGTTTTTCTTCCTCCTCTGTCTTGCTCCTTATTTGGTTCTCCAGTGTTTGTAAGTTCTTTCTGAAGGAGCACACGCCTCCCTCTGTCATGTCCATCACTCCCTCTGTCCCCAGTCTTTTATCATATTCACTGTTGGGCTACAAGCTTCTGATCCTTTGTCTCTGGTTCCATCCTTTGTTCTTGGATGGTGGGTCTTCATCCTCGCATGCTCCTTCTCCTTCTCCCTCAACTCCTTCTCCATTTCACGGATGTGCTTCTGTTTTTCCTGCATCTGCTGCTGCAAAGTCTGCAGTATTCCTATGTGAAGCGAAATTTTTTCCTCCTTGGCCTGTATGTCCACTGCTTTTTCCTGGATTCTCTCTGTCAGAGCTTGCTTCTTGTTCGCTGCGACAGTCACGTTAAGTTCTTCGTTCAAGGCGTCTATTTCATCCCTCAGCTCCCTGAGCAGCTCTTTGTTCTCCGCTACAATTTTCTCACTGTTTTTTATTAATTCAACCCGTTTTTGCACTCTCTTTTTCTGATGCGAGATTTCTGCTCTGTAGTCCAAGCCTTCCTCCTGTGTCCTTTGGTCTGTATCTGACTTCGCTGCCATCTCCATCTTTCTGGGCTGTTCTTCCAGACTGGCTTCAAGCTCTTGAGGCTTTTTGCCTTCCAGAATCATCCTGTCCACCTTCTCCAGCAACTTTGAGATCTGGGTATGGTCAGACTCTACAATGTTAAACAGGTGGAACCATCCGCCACATTGACTTACGGTCAACTGCAGAAGTCCTTCCTTCCGTAGGACCCTGTCCTCCTCGTAACCGTCTTGTTTGTCCTGATCCGTGTGGGTGATAAGGACCATCAAATCGTCCACTGAAATTTTGCCAAGTGCGTGTCTGAGTGGGTGCTGACCATGCTGGAACTTTTTTGTGTTCCATCCCATTGGTACCACCAACAGGAATACCACCGGCAGTTTCTAAGAGATCTTGACATGCTTTCTTGATGGCCTTCATCACCTCCAGGTCCAAGGTTTCTTCGCCGGTCAGGCCAGGTGTGTCCACTAGAGTCACGGCACAGACCCCTATCTTGCAGCTCTCAGTCTGGCAAGAAAGTGTTCCAGTTCCTGTTTTAAATGCCACCCTGCCCAGGATGCAGTTTCCTGCAGAACTCTTCCCAGAGCCCTTTGGACCAACCAGAACCAGCTGCAGCGCTCCACTCTTTCCAGCAATTCTACCTGCAGCCATACATATACATTCTAGGATTAAAATACTGCCACATTGCATTCTGCAGCTTTTCCGTTACAAATCACTACACTTTCTTCGTAATAGGCATAGAACAGTGTGATTTTGCATATCTGGACAACAGAGCTTTCTTTAGCTTGCCGGTCATCAGATACCTAACGGTGATACGTAACCTATTTTTAGATGCTGATTAAGATTCTTCCGCATTGTGGTCTCTATACATTCAAAAATCTGTGGCCATGATCTGCACCTGCCCATGAAAGATTAAGTAGCCTTGATTTACTAATGCTAGACTGTATTAAATACCTTCATGATCGCTTATAGGAAAGGTTGTCTCACACAAAACAGCCTTTCTCAACTCAAAATTCTAGTGTCCCTGTTTTTTCAGACTTATACATTTGCATAACATCTTCAAATTTAAAGTGAAAACCAAATTTCTGGATATTAACTAAAGCAGATGCTTTTAAGTATGTTTGCGTAATCCCAACAACCACAAATACCCCCTTCAAAAATAAAGTGTTAAAATACACTGCTTGTTTTAAATAAGGGCCTGATTGTATATTGTTTGGCGATAAAATCAGACATTGTTCTGGTTCCATGGATTTGGCTCTGGACCTCAGATCCCCTGTGTCTGTGACTGGTCCAAGAAATTAGTAATTTGTAAGAGCCAATTGCATAGAGTATCGCTTCATTGCATCATATTTAATTTTTTGCCTAAACTGAATTTGCACAATTTGTCGCTCGTCGACCTGTTGCCCATCTTGCTTACCACTTGTCACTAAATTGCAGCTACAAATCGCCTACTTCCATTGGGAGTGACTGGTCGACTGTCGCTCTGTCGCCTGCTAATGTAAATGCAGGGTTAGATGCTCCGTCAGCAGATGTCCACAGACCATATCTTTTGCACCCTAAGCTGCCCACAACTATCTGGATTTTGTCGGTTGTATACAATTTCATTAGTAGTGGGTCTGTTGTTTTGAAAATCCCACTACTTATCAAGTTCCAAACCAATAACAAAATTACATTTATGTTGAGAGACACATCAACAAATAACTAATACACAAACTTGTACCTATGTGTTAATGACACGTGCGGGTACTATAGTGCCCTGGTTGAATGTGAGGATTGTACATCAATCAGGCATAACATTCTGACCACCTCCTCGTTTCTACGCTCATTGTCCATTTTATCAGCTCCACTTACTATATAGGTGCACTTTGTAGTTCTACAGTTACAGACTGTAGTCCATCTGTTTCTCTGATACTTTGTTAGCCCCCTTTTACCCTGTTCTTTCAGTGGTCAGGACCCCCATGGACCCTCACAGAGCAGGCACTATTTGGGTGGTGGATCATTCTCAGCACTGCAGTGACACTGACGTGGTGGTGGTGTGTTAGTGTGTGTTGCGCTGGTCTGAGTGGATCAGACACAGCAGTGCTGCGGGAGTTTTGTGTCCACTCACTGTCCACTTTATTAGACACCCCTACCTTGTCAGTCCACCTTGTAGATGTAAAGTCAGAGACAGCAGCTCATGTGTGTCAGCATAGTTTATGTTGGTCATCCTCTAGTTCTTCATCAGTGGTCACAGGATGCTGCCCACAGGACTGTTGGCTGGATATTTTTGGTTGGTGGACTATTCTCAGTCCAGCAGTGACACCGAGGTGTTTAAAAACTCCAGCAGCACTGCTGTGCGATCCACATCAGTGTTACTGCAGCTGAGACAGCACTAACACACCACCACCACATCAGTGTCACTGCTCTGTGAGGGTCCATGGGGGTCCTGACCACTGAAGAACATGGTAAAAGGGGGCTAACAAAGTATCAGAGAAACAGATGGACTACAGTCTGTAACTGTAGAACTACAAAGTGCACCTATATAGTAAGTGGAGCTGATAAAATGGACAATGAGCGTAGAAACAAGGAGGTGGTCATAATGTAATGTCTGATCGGTGTGTATGTATGTGTTATACTCACAAACCTTGAGCATGACCTTTTATCCATTGCTTGAGCCGTTTTCTTGTGTCCTGTAACATGCAGACCAAAGTTAACATGAAGCAACCGTGAAAGGTTTTGTAAGAATGTGCATGCAAAAGTAATACTGTGTTCAAAGTAAGGGATGCCTTTGACATTTGGTGTTCAGTCTGGTCTTACTGAATGCAGTTTTGCTAAGGGTGAAGGGTGGCATGTCTCAGCTTCTCTTCTGCAGTGCACAGTACAGTTTGATGTTTTTCAGCTCTAAGAAATCTAAGCTCTAGAAAAGGGCTGATAAACATGCATCCCAATTATGGTTCTTTTCCTGTTCGCAAGATGAATTTAGAATCCATGTTCTAAATTACAATAATCTTGTGGACCATAATTGACTGTTTGATTTGCTGTTTTTATATGTTGCTCAAAAATCAGAGGTAAGAGTTACTCTAATGCTAGCATGGTTGTATTTATTTGCCTATAGATCAGTGGCAAGGTGGATAAGCTAGCAGGCAGGATTGGCTGACACCAGAGCCAGTATAAGCGAGCTTGACTGCTTCCTATTTCTCCCATTATATCAAAAAATGACTGAAACTAGTAGAGGATAGTTTCAGTACCTCAATGGATGGAGGTAAATGGTGCGAAACAGCTATAAACCAAAAAAATAAACATTGTTCTAATAGCATTTATGCAGGGATGTCCTTTAATTTTTGGAAAGCAGAATGATGCATTCCATATTCTGCATAATTAGAACGTCTGCTAATGTCTTCAAAAATGCTCAAAAATAGTATTGAAATACTTTATACTGTTCTTTATACCATTCATTTTGGACTTGCTCAGGAACATCTCAAGCATCTGACCAACCTGGAAGACACTATGGGGAGATGACTCTTATAGAAATTTCATGTTGATACAATAGGGATTCCCAGTAGTTCCATCTGTTCTTCTTTGTACATTGTATTCTGTCAAAGCAATGAGGCTGAGGGATACAACACTATGATGCAGCACTACAGAATACAGTGTAACCTGTGTAACACAATTAGTAACATATTCAAGTCATTCATCATATCGCTGTGTCAGTAAAGTATCTTTGAGACGGGGCGTGTGCAACATAGCGCGAAAGCCTCATAAAACAGTTGTTGAGAGACATTTAACTGATCAACTTCTGAGGGAAAGTTTTCAGGTGGAGATGGGAGGAAAGCGGCTATTAAAGCTTAAAGCAGAGCAAAGTAAATCTGCCTTTTCATTTATATTGTTTAGTCTATACTAGGACATTAACACATACTGGACAGTAAATGTTGTGGCTCCCAAGCTGGTTTGATTTTTGTTGAAAGGACAAAATGTCTCTTCTTAACATTTGTGCTGTGACTCCTGACCTGACCTGGCTTTTAATGCAGAGGGCACCAGTCGGATTTGTCACTCATCCAGTTGTGTTTTTGTTATGCCACAGACTGTCCGGGCGCTGCACTTCCGCACTTCCAAGTTCCGCCTTTTGCGTTCCGTCAACATTACGTTATAAATTAAATATTTAGAAAATCGATTTTTGACTTGATTCAGAATCGTTCACGTCCGTATCGCGATGCATCTAAGCATCGATTCCCCCCCCCCAAAGTGGCGGTTGGTACTTTCCTCTGAGCGCATTCAGCTGACCAATAATGTCACATGAGCGGCAGTTTGAAAAGAGGCAGTGGTGCTTCACAGGACTCAGAGGAAGCCTGTGTTAGCCTTCGCCCTCCTAGCACTGGTGGTATCGTGTCACTGAGGGAGTCCTAACTGGGGGGTGGAACTGGAAACAACTAAATTGGCAAGAAAATTGGGGAAAAAAAAGAAAAAAAAAAGCTGGCCACTGTTATCAACAAAGACCATAAAAGGCTGTAACACATTATCATAAAAGCCAGTGCAACCAATAAAATATTTTAGAAGAACTACTGTGGTTTTTAGCTTAATTGTTGAATATTTTTGAAACTTAAAAAAAAAACTGCTTGCTTTCATTTTTTTGGCTTTTAATATAAATATTAATACAACAATTCCCACAGACACTCTCAAAAATCCTGTAGAAAGCTTCCCAGAATAGTGGAAGCTGTTACAGCTGCAAAGGGGGACCAACTCCATATTAATGCCCATGGATTTAGAATGGGATTCATAAAAGCTCCTGTAGGTGTGATGTGTAGGTGTCCCAATACTTTTGTCCACATAGTGTAGATTTTGTTACTAATTGTGTTGTAAGAACTTAAAAAGAGAGGAGAGGTTCTGTTTTTATGCAAGATCTGGAACACATTACCAATAAACATCCGTCAGCCTCCTTCTGTCAGTGAGTTAAAAACATATTTCTTTATTTAGCATTAAGCTAATGAGCTTTTTTTTATTGTTTTTCCTGTTTTTTACTGGAATATTACTTTTACTTTCTTATTAATTGTATATTTATTTTTATTTATACCTTTATCTTGTGCATTTTATTAATATATCCCCTTTTTTGCTATTTTGATTTCTTCCTCTGTTGTTGTGTACCTCGTATTGTGAAGCACTTTGTGCTGCATTTTTCAACATTTTAAAAATAACAGGAGCTGTAGAAATACGGCCAGCGACTGTAAAGCAATGATAGAAGGTTATTGTGACCTCAGTTTTATTTTCTAGCACAAAATCTTCACCACTATCACAACCAACGTATGAAAAAATGCAAAACAGAAAGTAGCCACAGACAAAATTACCAGAATATCAACAGCTCGAATAAAAACTCAGTAGATTCAAGAAGCGGCTTGAAACATGATTCAGCTCGCTGTTTATAAAAGGTGGTGGACATTATTATCTGATTAGATAATGAGATTTAATTAGAAAGAACTCTTACCAGAGGATCGGATTTAGCCTCTGCTTGTCCCATGCTGGAATTAAGATGTTTGCTTGCTGGACCGCTTGCAAACCTGTTTGAACGGAAGCCCGTGCCGTTTCTTGGAAACGACAGCCTTTGACCTTTGGCCTTATCTCACAATCAGCCATAAAACCACAGATTTAGCCAGGCTAGTCAACTCATTAAAGCTTCTTCCTGCTGTATGTGGATCATGTGTTTATCTAAGAGTACCAGCGCTTTGGTGAAGGGCTGTCACGAGCGTGAAATCTCAGCTGATGATAAATTGTCATGTAAATAATTGTGATGATCGATTTGTCACATGCCAAAATTTGGCCACCCCCAGTCAAATTACATTGATTTTCTAAGCGAATATAAGTACATATCCTCTACAGAGAACACACTTCTGTGTATTTTAATGCACAACTTACTGAACTTAAGATTGTGGCCTGTGCAAAAGTTATGGCACATTGTTAAATTCAGCAAATAAATAAAAATTGTGCACTAAAATTAGCAGAAAAATGTCTTATTTAGGTTTGATCCCTGTCGAAGATGCACAACTGTATAAGTCCAGCTGACGAAAACATTTCTTAGTTCTGTTCTCAGACTTTTATTTAAAGATTTGATTAAAATTTTGCCTTTAATGTTATTATTTTCTCTCTTGTTTTCTGTAGTGTTTTGTACTCTTTACCACATAGCAACAGGATAGCACGCCACTGTTGGGCCACTGACGGCAAAGCTGGCGGCCCACTGGCTTTTTGCTCAATGTTTTCCAGATGGCCCACCAGAACTTTAGCTTCAGTGTTTTTCTGTACAGATTATTTCCAGTGATGTAGCCGAGTAGCTCAGAAATATGTTCAGGTTGTGACAGAGGACGTTCTAAAAAGTAACTAAGTTAGTTTTTTAATGAACTACTCATTTACTTTTACTCGAGTAATTTTATTTACTAATACTTTTACTTGTACCTGAGTAAATTATCACTACAGTAACAGTACTTGTACTTGAGTAGGGATTTTCAGTACTCTTTACACCCCTGTCCAAAACACAACACATGCTGGTTTTGCTGGTGAGCAGCCATGCTGGTCTATGTTGTATATAACTCTGTGCAGTATTGATTCAGCAGTACAACCAGTGTTAGCTACTAAATAAACATATCTAGCTAGTAAGATGGCTAATCAGCCAGTCTGGCCTCTTTAGGTTTGTATTTTAATAGATGTAAACCACCCAGATAGCAAACACATATCGACCCGCTGGCTTGATAAGGCCGGGCACCCCGCTGACGGATTGGACCACCCAGATTACTGTCCTGCATACAAGGTCTAAGTTATTAATTATTGTTTTTAAATTATGTAAAAAACTGAAAATCAACAAAAATGGAGAATCAAGGTTTTTTACTGATAGCAGTGATATGTTTTTTTTGCCACAACTCAACTGCACAACTGGTGCAGCCAGTTCACAGTTTGCTTGTCTTTCAGCTTAAATAATTGCGGTTTGGTGATATACGTAGTAATAGTGACGGGCCTACTTTGGTATAAAAAATGTTTAATTGAACCAGTCAAGTCAAACAAACAACAGAAATCACTCTGAAACGCTTTTATTAACAGCTTAGTGCTTCACATAAAAGCTGCAAAAATGAACTATGATCTCTCTTTGAGATGCAGTAAGGATGTTTTCATATCACCTTTCCATATTGTCTAAGTATCCACTGATCAACCTTCATTTTTTTTAACATTACCGATTCATATACATTTATTTTGGGTACATTTTTCACTGGCTTCAGGTCAAATTCATACAAAATTATGGATCCACTGACAAGACATTGGGTTAATTTCATCAGTTATTAAAATTAATAACTTAACTGATTCTATTTATAAAAGAATATGGTAAGTGAAACTGAGGAAAAACAAAACAAACCTGTTGTTTTCTCTAAAATTCTCGAACAAAATATAAATACAGTACTGTGCAAAGTTTCAGGCACCTAAAAAAATTAGATTTAAAAGCTATTTATCTAGTTAGTAAGCTTTTATTTGTTCAGTTTTTATTTGATATATGTGGTCTGCAAAGATAAATGGGTTTAAATCAACTTCTTCACAGCTCTGTATATATCTTAATATCTTACTCACTCTATTTATTTCATATTTTTTGGCATATATTTCAAATTAAAGAACATGCTAGCTCGTCCTCTACAATGAACATAAACATTATTTGCAGTGTAACATTTAACATATTGGGAAAAAAATACAATTTAAAATGTGCCATAACTGTTACACAGGCCACATTTTATTTAATATTTATAGTTTATTTTTTCCTTGTATGTTAAATTCAGTAAAAAAACAGTAATCTGTTCTCTGTAGAAGGTGCGTTAACTAATTTTCACATATAAAAACAACAACATTTCATTTGATCTGTTTAAACTGTACAAATGTGTTAGCATTTAAATGAAATATATGGCTTCATGATTTAGAAAATATTTTTCAGAACATACAGGATATTTGGATAAATTTCCAATTCATACACAGCTGAAATTTCAATTTCATAAAATGCTAAAACTGATTCCTTTAAACAAGTTAAAATGTCTCCTTGTATGTACAGTCATACTCAAAATTTGGGCATCCTTGCTCAAATTGCATTGATTTTTTAAGTGAATATAAGTACACATCCTCTACAGAGAACACACTTCTGCCCATTTTGATGCATGATTTACTGAATTTAGCATACTGGGGGGAAAAATGCATAAAATGTGGCCTGTGCAAAAGTTATATTTTATGTTTATTTTTTACAATATGTCAAACTCAACAAATAAATAAAAAGTGTAAAGTGTACCCTAAAATTAGCACAAAAATTTCATATTTACATGTAATCCCTGTAAAGGATGTGTTAACTTATTTTCACTTAGAAAATCAACAAACAATGTCATTTGCCTGGGCCTGTTCAAACAATTGTATAGATCCAGCTGACAAAAACATTTCTTGGTCCTGTTCTCAGACATTGATTGAATGATATGATTGAAAGATATCAATGCTCAATTAATCATGCCTTTAATGTTACTATTTTCTCTCTTATTTTCTGCAGCTGCGCTTTGTACTCTGAATTTCGGCCCCTCATCAGCTCCTCTTCCTCCTCTCTCTTACTCTTCATCTGATCTTCCAGTTGTTGTAGGTTCTTTCTGACTGAGTACATCCCTCCTGCTCTCTCTGTACCCATTCTTTTATCTTCCTCAAGTGAGTGAGGTTCTGGCTTTGGCGTTTTCTTCTTTTTCTGAGCTTCTTGGTGTGTAACCTTGAATTGGTCTGATGCTTTTGAGGATTCTGCAGTTTGTTCTTCTGAACTGGCATAAAGCTTTTGGGTCTTTCTGCCCTCCCGCATCATCCTGTCAAGTTTGTCCACCAGCTCTAAGACTTGGGTACCATCACTCTTGGCAATGCTGAACAGGTGGAACCATCCGCCGCATTGCCTCACGGTCAACTGCAAAGATCCTCCCTTCCGTAGGACGCTTTCCTCCTCTGACCCGTCCTGCTCGACCTGATCTGTGTGGGTGACAAGGACCATCAAATGGTCCACTGAAACTTTGCCAAGTGCATGTCTGAGCATGTGTTGACCGTCCTCTGACCTTTTCATGTTCCACTCTAAAGGCAGCACCAACAGGAATACGACCGGCAATTCTAGAAGATCTTGACATGCTTTCCTGATGATCCCCATCACCTCCAGGTCGGAGGTTTCTTTGCCGGTCAGGCCAGGTGTGTCCACTAGTGTCACAGCACGGCCCCCTATCTCACATTTCTCGGTCTGGCAGGTAAGTATTGCTGTTCCCGTTTTAAATGCCTTTTTACCCAGGATGCTGTTTCCTGCCGAACTCTTCCCAGAGCCTTTTGGACCGACTAGAACAAGCTGCAGTGCTCCACTCCGTCCAGCACTCTTACCTGCACACACATGTTGTTGATCACAGTGCTGTCACTCGTTGATAGTGGTTAAACGGTTTAAAGATGTAATATTTAGAAAATAAATACAATTCTACAGACCTCGAAGGTGCTCTTTTATCCTTTTCCGGAGCCGTCCTCTTGACAGCTGTAAAACATACAGACCATGTTTGGGATTTCATTTTTTTTAATCCTAATAAATGTTGGCCTATGACTCCTAAGCATTGCTTGTAGATGGTTTGTTGTGACCTGGAGTTAGATGTGTTGGATCAGATTTCAGCGAAGTTTTCAGACCATGCATATTAACATATTAACGTCATATGCACAGGCTCAAAACGAAGGACTAGCTCGATGGTTTGGCCTCAAATGCAAAATCAACATTATCCTGATGATGATATGATGAAAACATAACATATAACACCCTAAAGGGGTCCAAAGCACAACCTACGTTACAAAATGGTCTTCCAGACTTGCATTATGAACTATGATCTATCTTTGAGATGCAGTAAGGATGTTTTCATATCACCTTTCCATATTGTCTAAGTATCCACTGATTAACCTTCATTTCTTTAACATTACAGATTCATATAGATTTTTTCTGGGTACATTTTTCACTGGCTTCAGGTCAAATTCATATGAAATTCCAATATGCTGGATCCACTGACAAGACTTTGGGTTAATTTTGTCAGTTATTAAAATTAATAACTCAACTGCTTCTATTTATGAAAGAGTATTATAAGTAAAACTGAGGAAAAACAAAACAATCTTGTTGATTTCTCTAAAATTCTTGAACAAAATATAAATACAGTACTGTGCAAAAGTTTTAGGCACCTGAGAATATTAGATTCAAAAGCTATTTATCTAGTTAGTAAGCTTTTATTTGCTCAGTTTTTTATTTGATGTATGTGACCTGCAAACAGTTTAAATAGATAAACTTTAAATTTAGGTTAAACTTATATTCAATGTGTGCAATTACACATTTCCAGAGACCCCAAAACATGAATAGTGTAGCTTAACTAGCATTAGAATCAAAAAAGGGCATAGTCTAAAGGAAATAACAACAGAGGTACAAACAATAGGAGAAAAAAGGAGACCTAATACAACCACTTCTGAGCCGACCTATGAAACTATGACCAAAAATGTGACCCAGATACAACGATCAATGCATGTAAAGGACCAACATGAATACAATTCCAGAAACAAGTGTAATAAAGTGTGTAAAGGTGCATTAATAGAAAAGATTCTTACCAGACCGGGTTCGGGTTTTGCCTCTGCTTGTCCCATGTTTGAAGGATATTTAGTGCCGGGCCGTTTTCAAGCACTTCCAGACAGAAGCCACTTCCTTTTCTTGGAAATACTGCTCTTTGTTCCTTGACATACTTTGCCAGTCAGTCATAAAACCTCAGTATTAGTATCAGTATCAGCTAGTTGCCCCAGATTCAGTTCAGTACAGTCTGTTTGTAATTCAGAATGTAGACTGTTCTTGCCCCACTGTGGTGCAAGCTTGTTGTTGTGTCCTGTGAAATAAGGTGTTAATTAGAATCTGCATAGAACTTACTTAGAAGATCCACATAGCAGGAAGTTTTTTGTAATATTAAAAGTAATTTCAAATGTAATAGAGCAGGGTTATGAGTCAGCATGGTTGATTAGCATGAGTAGAAGCATTGTATCAAGGGTTTAGGACAGTGGATCTCAAGCTGGTCCTCAGGGACCCCCAGACAGCCTTGCAAGACCCCACCCCCCATCCCTCCATGCTTTAAATGAATGGCTTGTTTGGTATCCGAACTTTGCTTCTCCAGTTTTGCACTGGAGCTATGAGGCGAATGTAGCTAAGAAGCAATAGAAGTCAGTAGTCACCCAAACTTCGAACCACATCCAGCTCTTCATTACAATCACACATTTTTACAATCGTTTACGATCGTTTTTTTATTTGTTCATATGGTTCAGTGCACAGGATGACTTACTGTAAACAATAAAAATGAACAGAACTTGACCTTGTAGCTGAACTCTGCCTGCAGCCATCAAAGATAGGTGTTGTTCTGAAATCTGTCTCCCCTTCAGAATCCGACACCCCTTCGCATGCATGCATGTCACACATGCATATCGAAGCATACGATTTGGGTCATTCTACAGAAACGTCCACTTTTCTATCTCTCCATATAGAAGGGCATGTTACCAGCCCTCTTTGGTGTTACACATAAGAAAGGTAACACCAGAGACATTTTTAATGAAAAATACATTTTACAAAATAACTGCTACAGAGCATCAAACCACATGTTGTCAATCATGAAACATTCACTAAAATATGTAATTTAGTCCATTTGTATTCTGTTTTTTCACAATTACCTCAGAATAAAGTCGGTCAAACCAGTGACTTCAGCTAAAAGCTTCATATGAAATCATGAGCTAAATGAGAGAATCTCTGATAATTGAAAGACACAGTGGACTCACCATGTGCTTTTCTTCATAGATCCTCAGAAAACAGGTAAAAGGAAGTCAAATGATGTCATCAGTGTGATTTTTATTTCAAAAAAAGAGATTTTTTGTTACGCAGTAACACCAGTGACACGACTCCTGGGGACAACAACTTTCATTATATATTTTAGAATATTTATTTGGCATTTGTTTTCTTTATGTCATTTAATTCATATATTCCATAGTCATGTATAGATTATTGTAATTAAAATTGCAGAAAAAGATTTTTTTTCTTCAAAATATGGCCTCAGCCTTTACAAATGACTGTGAGGACGAGCTCTTCTGTGGTGCTTGGAATTCTATATGATTGATTTATAAACCAATATTGCTAAACTGACGGCTCAATAAGGTGTAATTGTTAAAATAACTTATTGTTTTATTTTAAAATATGAATAAATTGTAACTCTAACATGTTTTTCCAAGTGTAATATATCTGTAAACACTAGGGACACAAAAATGGACATTTCTGTAGATTTTTGGATAAGGTACTTTTACTTTTACTAAAGATACTCATATCTGTCAGGTCATTGTAAATAAGAGAGGAATATGATCCTAGATCAGCCTCTTACTTTGTCATTGTTTCTCCTCTCCACTAGGTGGAGCCCTTGCGTTTGTGATAAAGACTAGCATGCTCACATTGAGAAAGAAACTGAAGGGTCTTAAAGTAAAGTCAAGGCTATAAAGTCAAGGCCAAGAAACGAGTGAGATTAAAGAGCATGAAAGTGATTGAAAAAAGAAATGGAGAACTCAGGAGAACAAACAAACGACCGAGCAGGTCATTCTGTGATTTAGCCACAGTTAAATCAGCAGGCTTGTAAATCTCTGACCCCATCTCACAATCACAATACTTCAGGAAACGATTCAATCCATTATACACTGATCAGCTATAACATTATGACCACCTACTTGTTTCTGCACTCATTGTCCATTTTATCACCTCCACTGACCAAATAGGTGCACTTTGTAGATCTACAGTTACAGACTGTAGTCTGTAGACCCTTTTACCCTGTTCTTCAATGGTCAGGACCCCTACAGGACCACCACAGAGCAAGTATTATGTGGGTGCTGGATCATTCTCAGCCCTGCAGTGACACTAACATGGTGGTGATGTGTTAGGGTGTGTTGCGCTGGTGCAAGTGGATCAGACAGCAGTGCTCACAGAGTTTTGAAACACCTCAGTGTCTCTGCTGGACTGAGTTCAAAAAATATCCAGCCAACAGCGTCCTGTGACCACTGATAAAGGCCTAGAAGTTGACCAGCGCAGCTGAGCTGTCGTCTCTGACTTTACATCTACAAGGTGGACTGACAAGGTCTAATAGACTGGACAGTGAGTAGACAAAGTAATTAAAAACTCTTTTAACCATTAAGCCAATTCCAGACATGGCGACCCCTGGTTCCCATCACCACCACTGAAAAGAACTCAGGGTCTCAGCAATGGACCACTTCACATCAATGGTCATGTGATTCAGGTAAACTCTCATAGCCCCGTGATAAATCAATGCGTTGGTGCATGAGACTGCGAGCTGCGAGACTTTGAGGAGTTCTGAGCTCGTCTCCAAAACAGAAGCAGCAACTCAGCAGCAGCGGCAGGTCTGGAGGCATCTGCCTTGAATCTAAAGCTGTCTAACTGTAACTGGCTGAGGTCCAGACATACAGCAGCTCAGCTAAGAGGCAGAGCAGGCCAGAGAGAGAAAGAATGTGTGAATGAATGGTGAGTTTCTCCGTGAATGAGGCATTAGCTTTAGCTTCAGAGCCTCATAATGTAAACTCTCCCCACTGAATCTCACGATAACGTAGCCTTCAGATTATATAAAATCTGAAGTTAGCAAGGCACAGTAGCTATATACACATGAACACACCAACATGGCCTTAAGTAAAGCAGTACGCTTTTAAACTGCTGGCTAAACAGGCCACTCTACAGAGTGCTAGGATAATGTATAAACCTGTAGAATGTAGGTCACTCCAATGCACGCATCTATTAATAGTCTGAACCTACAGGATGGAGTGGTGTCTGAGACCGAGAGGGTAAATAATGGATAATTATTATCAGCTGGAATATTGCTGCCTTCAAGTCGTCCTCGAAGTTCCTACTTACGACTTCGGAGGTCATAAGTACGACTTGGTTTGTCCTCAAGTGGTTTTGGTTTACTTTTATTTTTGTGTTATTAAAGAGAGTCTGTGTATATACAGTATATCTGTTTTTCCCTGTGTGGACGGTTTCAGCCTGCAGTGTTAATGTTGGAATGTTACCAGCGGCTATCATTGGTTTTTTGTTGACACGCCCCCAACTCGGAAAGTTCACTTCAGAAGTGGTAACATTCAAATGTAAAGAAAAGGACATTAGAAAATGGCTTTAGGCTAAAATGGGTGTCCCAGCTAACGCTATTATGTTATATGCAGCTAACTTGTTTCTGCTTAGCTACTAAGCTAACCAGCTAGGTATTCTTTTTAATCCAGGACACAAAACATCATCCAAAAAAATGAACGTCCAGTTTATTTCACTGCCATTGGTGAAAAAACAATTCTTGACAGAATGTTATGCTGACCGCTGTGGTACGCTCAGTTTATCAGCGGCTATCATTGGTTTTTTGTTGACATGCCCTACAACTCGGAAAGTTGGGGCTCATTGAAAAATCCAAGTTTCCCATTATTAAATTTTTGTAACATTGTGGTGCCGTTCATGTTCCTCCATCTCGTAAATATGATATTTTCGACACGACTTGAAGGCAGCAAATGTCATAGTGCTACCCTGCTAGCAATTGATGTTCTTCAGAGACGTAAACTAGCAAAGTCAGTCATGTGCTGTTCCACTAGCATGCTTTAGCCAAGAGTTGTTGTTTTAAGAACCAGTACATTTTGAATGTTACACCTTTTGAGGTGTGGTGCCACCCCGAATGAAAGCTTACCATTGCGGCAATTAGCATCATGTAAGTGTTCATTTCTATTACTTGTTAGCAACATTAGCCTTGTAGCCCCAGCGCAAAACTAGACAGCTCAACACCAAATATGTCTGGGCTGTTCAAGCTCTTTGGGTTAAGAGGAAAATTCAATAAATTGGATTTTTTTCGCTATATAAATGCAACTTATATCCACTGTGTTGAGTGAATACTATGCTACATTTACATGTTAGCACTGACCACATGTGGGTCCGTGCTTCACTGTGTATGCGACTGGTGCAGCCATGTAAACATTGCTATTGGTTGTTGTATTCTGGGTGCACCTTCAACGATGAGACATTTGGTGTCCGTAAATGGCAAAAGCTGGGAAAATGGAACTCTTGATGGGATCAGCCATTGCCGATTTTTCAATGCTGCTCTGTTGAAAACGATGAAATATCTGACCGCTTAGCACCAACATGAGTAACACATGGATAACGGACTGCATTTGGGGTAAGCTGATTTTCTTTGATGTGCTATCGCTTTAAAACGCAACTAATATCTACTGTGTTTGGTGGCTATTATGCTATGTTTACCTGTTGGAACTGAAAAAAACGTTCCATGCCTCACACCATGTCCTAACACTGAGCGAGCGTTCAAATGTAGTATCGTCCCATCACCAAGCCTTCAGGGTGTCTACACCGGAAACATCAAATGTGTGGCAAAGTAGTCAAAATGTAAAGAAAAGGACATCAGAAAATGGCTTGAGGCTAAAATGGGTGTCCCAGCTAACGCTATTATGTTATATGCACTAACATGTATCTGCTTGGCTACTAAGCTAACCAGCTAGGTATTCTTTTTAATCCGGGTACAAAACATCTTCCAAAAAAATGAACGTCCAGTTTATTTCAATGCCATTGGTGAAAAATCAATTCTTGACAGAATGCTATGCTGACCCTATGCTGACCGCTGTGGTATGCTGCCATTGCAGCTGGTCAGTGTTGCTCCATTGAAAACAATGGAA